TCTTTTATAAAGAGTCATTTTCTTATACCAGGAATAGATTGCAATGAAGAATATGGTTTCCCGTGACTGAAATGGTGCCTGTGTAGATTCTCCGTTCCTGGTTTCGCGCGACAACGTTGCGCAGCTACTTATTATATAACCTATTTTCCCTCTATTTCCATTATTTCACTAATAACTTTTAGGACCGGGAAACCCATTTTAGGTAGATGATCGACATAGCCGTGAATTACGTTACTGCGCTACATCGATCATCTTCTTCCACATGTTTCCGAGATCACGTTTTTACAGCTCACAATATCTTGTTAATCACATGATAAAATGTCGGAAGTCCATAGCTTTGAAATAATCCTTTGGGAAAGGTCTCAAGTGAAAGGCAATTCTTCAATATACGAAGTTTCTTCTTAAGTCATCATCGCGCATACTGCCATGATTCTAAAATTTCAAGTGTTTACTCCTTAACATTATCATTAGCAGAAGTTTTGCTTATTTTGAATCTGGTCACACAGTAGTATACTTTTTGTTTATCACACCGAAAAATCTTATGCATACTGGTGGTGCTAATAATATATACTCCAATAAAAATTTAGTGTTACCGACAGTGAGCGTTACACATGTTAATGATAAATTTACTTATATACTCATTACTGACTCGTTATTGTATGTTATCAAATATTAAATATTAAATATTAAATGGAATCAGATAGAGAAGGGCAATTGCTAAGCATATTTTCAAATACAGATATTACTAAGAATGAGGAGGAACTGAAACGTTATTTAGAATCCCTTAATGATGTAAATCCTAATATAAAAAACGATATTGGATGGTGTTACCAATACGGAAAAAGCATTACCAAAGATGAAAGGAAAGCATATGAATGGTATTTGAAAGCCGCCATGGAAGACAGTTTTAGTGGACAAAATAATCTCGGATGGTGTTTTGAAAAAGGAATAGGAGTTGCCAAAGATGAAAGGAATGCATTTAAGTGGTACTTAAAATCAGCCAAAGGTGGCAACTCCAGTGGACAAAATAACCTTGGACGCTGCTTTGAAAACGGAATAGGTACTGATCAAGATGAAAAAAGAGCATTAAAATGGTATTTAAAATCTGCAAAAAGTGGCAATCACAGTGGGCAATATAATCTTGGAATATGTTATAGGAATGGCAATGGAACGCATCCGAACGAAAAAAAAGCTATTAAATGGCTATTAAAGGCGCGAAATAATGAAAACCAACATAAAAATGAAATTGACCCTAGTTTGGATGATTCACTAAAAGAGGTGATGCGTAAAAATTTGATACCATGGATTCCATTTGATGAACTGCAAATTCTACATACTGTTTATGAAGATACAGTTAACTCTGTTTATTCTGCTGAATGGACACATTCGCATAAATATGGGGTACGAACAAGAAGAGTTAGGTTGGACTTACTTAATATAACGTTATCACACAGCGATGATGATGTTAAAGACTTATTTTTAAATGAGGTAAAGATTTAGTAGCATGGATATTTATGTGTACTAATGTACTAGCACTTACTTAATATGATTAATAATACTATAATATACTTCAAAGCTAAATGCGTACTGCATTATTGGACACAAGAGACCAACATTTCTTCAATGTTACGGAGTATCGAGAGATACAACTAGAGGTCATTATATATTAATTACACAAGACGCACAAGAAGGAACTCTAAAACACAACCTTCATTCAGTCTCGCTAATGGGATGGGAAAAAAAATTAAGTTTATTATATTATATAGGTCATGATCTTAAACTAATTCATTCCTACAACATTATTAATTGCGGCTTATTTTCGGAAGATATATTACAAAATAATTTAACAAGTGCATATATACCAATGTCTCCATTGTCTATATCAGCCGATAAAACACCAAAGGCAAGACCTAAGTTTATTGGAAGCTTTCCATACATAGCACCTGAAGTTATATGTGGAGGTCTATTTACTAAAGCATCAGATGTTTATTCATTTGGAGTGATTATGTGGGAAATTTCTTCAGGAAAATCTATAGGTGATTACTATCGGAATATCTATGGATGGTCTGACCATCTTTATTTGAAGATTTGTAATGGATTACGACCAAATATAAGTGAAAATACAAACCCATCTTATTCAGTTCTCATGACAAAATGCTGGGACAATGATCCGAACAAACGACCATCAGCTTCAAAAATTTGTAAGATTCTCGCCAAGTGGAAAAACGATATAGATAAATTTTATGAATATGATAAAATTGAATCTAAAAATGATTTTGAAATTGGATCTGAAAATAAATTTGAAAATGAGTCTGAAAATGATTTTGGAAATGAGTCTGAAAATGATTTTGAAAATGAATCTGAAAATGATTTTGAAAATGAATCCAAAAATGAACTAATTGACTATGAATCAGCATCGGATGATAGCAATTTTGTGATTGATAACCAAGAGAATAAAACCTCGTCCTCAAGTCGACAAAATAGCATCCAAAATGCAAAAGTTGGCCATAATAGTTTAAGTTCAATGTCGGCTAATGATTCCGAATCATCACAAGATACGAATTTGTCAAGTTTTACTAGTTTATATTGTGAAGGTAAAATTAATAATAGAATGTGACTTATTTATATCAAAAAACATAATTTTAACTATGCGTTTATTTTGCACAAAAATCACTACTGAATCAAAATTATCATCAGAAAAAATTATTACAGATATTGTTGAAGGCTGGTATAAGACTGCTATCAAAGATTATAAATTGAAGGAAATTCATTTTGATGAATTTGGAAAAACGGATTATATAGGAAATGGTGCATATGGTGCGGTTTACCGATCGACTTATGGCTTAACAGGAGAAAAGATTGCAATGAAAGAATTGTTTATTACATCAGATGATAATGAAATAATCAAAATCTTTATTAATGAAGTGAGAAAATTCATAAATACATTTTGTTTTTCCTGCATAATATTATATAATTCTTTACTATTGTTGTTCAGCTAAAACTACATAGCCTAGCTATTCATCCACGAATAATTCAATTTCATGGAATAAGTTGTGGTTAGTTATATTCTGCATTAATTGTTATTGCATTATATTTTTTCAACGGTTAATATAAAATAAAGATCAGGACAATGAAACGTACTATCTTGTGATGGAATATGCTGAAGGTGGAACATTACGACAATTTGTGAGTAAGCCCATATTTACTTGTCAAGAAAGGATCCGATTGGCATTACAAATAGTAGAAGGAATGACTTATTTGCATAGTATAAACATTATTCATCGTGATTTGGTAAGCTTGTTTACTGATTATCAATTGTATGTAGTTTAAATATTTACTAGTATAGTATATATTATATTTTTTTAGCACCCTAATAACATTCTAATTCATTATGGAGATGTTAAAATCGCTGACTTTGGTCTATCTAAAAGCCTCAACTCTATAACATCATATAGCAGCAATGTTTTTGGAATGATACCTTATATTGATCCTCAAAAACTCCGCAACGAAAAACATATTTTGGATAAGAAATCTGATATTTATAGTGTTGGTGTACTTTTATGGGAAATTTCTAGCAGTCGTATTCCTTTTAAAGGAAGGGAAGAAAGTACACTTTTTCTTCAAATTGCTTTTGATGGTTTACGTGAAGAACCCATAAATACAGTGCCTGATAGATACATCAAATTATATTCAGAATGTTGGCAAGAAGATCCTTCAAATAGACCTACTATGTTACAAATCTTTCAAACGTTGAAATCTATAGACTGGTGGTATCTAACTCTTATTAATGACTGTAGAGTGAAAGAAATTTGCTATAATGATTTTGGAAAAAAGAAAAAGATAGGTATAGGTGCATTTGGAATGGTTTATAAGACAACTTGTAGTTCAATAGAAGAAGAAATAATTGTACTGAAGGATGTACATATTACATCAAATGATGACGAGGAAAATATTAAAATATTTATTAATGAGGTACAGAACTGAATTTTCATTTATTTTTATTTTTTTGCACAATACAGACATATACAATTTTCTTAAAATTTTATGTTAATTTTCAGATAAAGCTACATAGTCAAGCTACTCATTCACGAGTTATTCAATTATATGGAATAAGCAGAGGTTAGTTTTTAATCTACAATAAACTAAAAAACAATTGTTTTTAACAAATATTCATGGCTCTTTAAAGATCAAAATAGTGAGTCACACTGTCTTGTAATGGAATTTGCTAAGGATGGAACATTACAAAAATATATACAAAATACTATCTTAAACTGGAAAGAAAAAATTCGAATAGCAACACAAATTGTAGAAGGGGTGGATTATTTGCATAGCATAGGAATTGTTCATCGTGATTTGGTAGGTTCAAATATTTATTTATATTATAATTCAACGTATGAATTGCATACGAATTTTATATATTTCTTTTTTTAGCATTCAAAAAATGTTCTTATACATCATGGAAACATTAAAATTGCCGATTTTGGTTTATCTAAAAACCTTAATAGTACCATGACGACTAAGGGAAGAATTTTTGGAATAATTCCTTATATTGATCCTCAAAAGCTTCGCAATGAAAAATATATTTTGAATGAAAAATCAGATATTTATAGCATCAGTGTACTTTTCTGGGAAATTTCAAGTTGTCGTATACCTTTCAAAAGAGAAGGAAGTAGTACACTTGGAATTCGAATTATTCGAGATAATTTACGAGAAAAACCTGTAAATGGAACACCTTGTCAATATATAAAATTGTATTCAGAATGTTGGGAAGATGATCCTTTTAAAAGACCTTCTAGTTCACAGATTCTTGAAAAATTAGATTCATTGAAATATGAACCAGTTTATAATGAAACTGATACTTTATAATAAGGTATACTTATTTATTAAGGTTCTATCTTTGTAATAAGTTTGTGTTTAGGTATTATTTTGACTGAAGTCATTATATTAGTTGCAACAGCATAGGTGAAGATTTCTGTGATTGGCTAATAAATTTTAAAAAATAGTCACCGAAATCATGATTACGTACAGTAATCATATGCTTATATTTTGTGTAACATTATTCTATCAATGCAATATAATTATATTTATATCGATTTTATTTTTATTGTAAGCAAAAAAGCAAAAATAAGCATAATTATTTAAACATTTGCATCAAATTAATGAATAAATAGATATTTAAAACATGCATAAAGCTTCATTAAGATGATTACATATTTTGTTATTTATTTCAATATGACCAACATCATCATTATCATTATTTTTATATACATTCTCATTATTATTATCATTGGCTTCATCATCTTCAACTTCACTCTCATGTGTAATTCTTTTATTGTTATAAATTCCAATTTTTAAATGATTTAGATAAGATTTTGTAAGCTTGCAAATTTTTTTGCATAAAATTTAAAACAAAATGAACATAAATTATTTAATAAATCAAAACATCATATATGAAAAGCATGTTTATATATCAAAACCTTGTTAGGTTCAAATGATTTGAATTTGCATTTTAGTATATCACAAAATTTGGTTTTGGATAGTTTTTTTGAAACATAATATCCAATTGGCAATTATTTAATATTAATTTTTTCATCTCTTAATATCTTTTTTTATAAAATCAAATCTTATTCTAATAATTCTTTCTACAATCAAGCTGATCTCCTAGTCAAACAAGGTATTAATAAATACCAAATTACATCCAACTTTAAACCAATACTTTCTTCCTATTTTACATGATATGATTATATAATTCTTACTAAAACCTGTTTTTTTCACTAAAATATAATAACTATTCAATTACTTTTTATTTGGTTATAACTTAAATATTTCAAAATCCATTTTCTATTAAATAGTCTACCAATCTTATTATTAATTCACTTAATAATTATTAAAAATTCTATTTATTTTGATTAAAAATTATCAATAACAACCTACCAACTATATAAAATCTTAATATATATCATCTCTTATTATACACTACTCCAAATTATGTTTATTGTTAATTAATCGAAGATATGCCTCATCTATTAACTTGCTCTAAACAAAAATTCAACCTTCAACAAATTCTTCATAGCTTAATTACAAATATTACTCAACAATTAAATATTATTAAACTGTAGTTTTTTTATTAACCATAGTGATAACAGAAACTGTTCAACTATAGTATAATGACTATAACTTGACAGGTTCTATACAAAAGTCTACACAAGACTTAACAAAATATAGAATAATTTGGGATTTTAAGACAGAATTAACAATAGGTAATATATAAAGATACTAAATATTATATTTAGTTTATTTACTATAAAATATATGAAGACACTTAACTTTCTTGAAGAGTCAGAAAGTAGTACTTTTATATATATTTTATATATATAAATTATTACAATAAAGACTATTCTATTACTAATAAATGTTATTTATAGTAATAAGAACTAATAGATATAATGGATATAATATATATAATAGATATAAAAGATATAATAGAAATAATAGATATAATAGATATATAATATTTGTTAGACATGTTAGATATGTTAGATTTAAAAGATCTATTAAAAATGTTAGATTTGTTAGATTTCTGGCACAGTAATGTAAGCCAATCAGAATCAAGTCATATGTACTAGAATTAGTGCTTTTATTAAATTTATTCTGATCTTGTGATCCCATAATCAGAATTATATGATCTTGTTCTCATTAGAATCATCTTAGTAAGCTGAATCTAATAGTAATTGTTTTATCTAATTTGGTTCAGTACATCAAAAATTATAGTCAAAAATGTGTAAAACTCTTAATGTTACCAATATCTCTATTAAAATTACAAATATTATTTATACTACATTATTCTACTACCTTAATACATCACTACATCTTAATTTTTTGAATCTTATTCAAGGCTTCTACCTTATATTATTATATGATATTATCAAAATACTTCTTCATAAAACAACATTACCCTTCTTCACAACCTTATCAAATGCTTCTCTTAATTAGTTCTATCAACAAATATGACTACTATATAATACTTTTTAATAATATTAAGAAAAAGCTTGCAATATAACTAACAAATCCAAATGTTCAAAAATCTACTCTCTAATTCCCATCTCTCAATCAACACCTAATATCTCAAATACATCTACTATTGATTCTACTATATTTATTAAAAACAGGCTATTTTTAGACTATTCACTTACTAACTGTATTTACTAAATATCAAGACTATTACTTTAGGTTTTTTTATAACCTTTTTATACTTAAAATTAATTTGAAATAATTAATAATAGTGTTATATAGAAATGGAGATGTAATATTATATTGGATGTCTTAAAATAAGTAGCACAAATATAGTTTAGAAATCTTTAATATAATTCTTCTATTACTTAATAAAGTTTCTATTTTGCATTTCAAAAAAAAAAATATTAACTTTTTTATTAAATATTATTAAAAAACATTTGGATTTTATTTTAAAAAAATTAAATTACTTTAATCTCATTTATTTTAAATATTAATAAACAAAGATAATAAAAATTTAGTAGACATTTCTTCTAGTTGTTTCAATTAACATTGTGTATAAGAATAATTTATAAATTTAACAAATATATTCTAAAATATATTTTTATATCTATTATATTAGAAAATGAATATATATCTAATTATTATTCAGATGTTTGCTATCAAAGAATACTATAAAAGTTACAATATAATAATCAATAAAAAGTAAAAGATGAGATTTTAATACAAATAAGAATTGGATAATTAATTGAGTCTCAAAAAAATACATTAGAAAGAATTAATAAAGAAAGTTTATTATAATTTTTCTTTTAAACTAATAAAAAATTATCTATAACAGAAATATTGTTTTAAGATATTCAGTTTATTTTTCAGCTTTAAATAGCACAGTATATATATTAATAGTTATTAAAATAATATTATCAAGTAAATTTATAGATATTTAATATTCTAGATCTTTAATATTATTTATATGAATTGTAATAGTTAGTTTGATTCAAAGCTATTTCATATAAATAAGATAAAATAATAAATTAGATTACTATACTTTATGTTTTTTGTAAGTTTTTTATTTTTTTAAATTGATTTAAAAAGCTTGCTAAAAAATTTATGATATTCTAATATTGTTGTTTAATGTAAGTTAAAAGATATATGTAATAGTCTAAGCATAGAACTAAATCACAAAATTATTTCAGATATTGATATTTGATTTTAAAGTATCATTTTGTGAATAATAGAATAACAAATATATGGCTATATAAAAAAGTTTGCAGAAATTAACACAATAAATGAATTAAGATATTGTTTAATAGGTTATAATTGTGAATAGATATTAATAGTTTTTAAATAAGTATCTATAAAATAAACATTTAATAAATGTAAATTGAGAAAAGTGACATCTTTCATTGTCTGCTCTTTTTTGTATTCTGCTATATCTGAATCATATATATATATTATTAAGTTATCAATTAATACATTATTAAATAGATTTGCTATTTCTTGAATATTATTTTATTTCTTTTTTTAATTTATATAACTTGTACCAAATCTTTTATATATTGTGAGTACAACTTTAAAACTATAGTCTTAGTATTAATAAATTCAGTATTGTAAACATTAAACTCTAATAGTAAGCTATATGGAATTGGTACACAATATTTTAATAACTTAACATAAATAATAGCTATGCAATTTATTAAATAAAACAAAGTCACATTAGGTATTTGCTTTTTATATATATTATAATAATTATTAATATTTAAAAAATATGTATATCTTAATTTTAATTTAAAAAAATTATTAAGATATGTTTACAATATTGTTTAAAATATTACACAATAAAATAACTGTTTTTGAAAATATATTTTGAGATTTTAATCTTATACTTTTAACAATTTATATCTTTTTACTGCAATAACTCTATATAATATAGTAATACTTAAAATAGCTAATGTATTAATTCTTTGTTTTGATAAACTCATTGTTATTAAACTAATGTTAGCATCTATCTAAAAAAAATATAATAATTATTATACTATTAAAAAAAATTATTATTTATTTAATATTTATCTTTATTTAATTAATAAATTTATTATATATTTTAGCAAAATGTATAGTAAATATCAACAATTCTATATTTGTTAACTTTACTATTTTTTTCTTCATTTTAATCATCATATCAAAAAATAATTTTAAATTCAGATTATAATTGTTTAATATTATTATAAAATCATTAAGATTATATTAAACATCTTTACTTTGTCAGTATTAATAATTATAAAAGCATTAGTAAAAGCTTTATTATAATAACACAATATACTTTTGAATTTTTTAGAATTTATTAATTAAAACTTAATATAAGTAACTATACTATATAACTTAATTTCTTATAAATAAAATAAATTAGGAATACTTTAGTTTGAATTACTAATTTTGTTTACAGAGTTTGTATCTCTTCTTTGGCTTAATTCAAATCTTATTTAAACTAATTAAATTTTTTTTTTAAATATTAATGATAAGTCATGCCTTTAACTTTGTTGAAATTTAATTAAAGTTTTTTTAAAAAAAAGATTGCTTTTAAATTACATACAAAGAATAAAGGTTTAGACATATAATCTGCATCCTAAATCTACAAGAATAACCAATGTTAATCTAAATTTGAGTATTAGTAGTAATATAAAAGAGATATATATAATATTTAATTTATTACATAGTTCAAAAGTTAATTTTAATAATAATTTGTGGTATTGAGATAAAGAATAAAGGTAAACTAGAAGAATGACTATAAGTTGAGTTAGTGGAAAGTGTGATTTGAGATTGTGCAAAATGTGAAATACAGTATAAGATCTATACTTGTT